TTATTACGCTGCTCTTAAAAGAGCGGACAGTAGACATACCAGAACGCTGCACAACTTGCTATTAGCTAACAGTTTTAAATCGCTATGAGTGAGGTGGTTAATAAATTTAATATGTTAATCTGAGTTTGAAAAGTGTTAAAATTAGAAACAAGGATACCAAGGATTAGAAACTTGGATAAGCAGTATATCTTTGCTCCTAAACTAGCATAACTCTAACCATGCATTCCACTGTCAAATTATCCCCTATAGCTTCTTCCAAATAAATGAGCTGATATCCTTACCATGGACCAATCATATGTTATTTTGGAACTCCAAGATGAAGGCATGGAAAAAACTGACTTAAAATACAAGAAGTCACATTTGCTGAAATACATGCATGTTATGACTCAGTACACGAACATCACAAATCGTGATATATCTGGGTCCACTCTCTTCCTCTCCCATAGCAACAATAAGTGGAGCAGTTAGGTACCATAGGATGACTTACACAACACGAGTAATCTGCTAGCAGGAGGTAAGTTACCTCAGCGCGCTTCCTGAGTATTCAGCACATAAGGAAATACAGTAACACAAGGAAGAGCATTGAGATATCTTCTCCGAAGAGCCCAAAATGAAGACTACTTGGCCAGCTTACAAGTCTGCTATACTATCCAAAATATCTGGATTAATACTAATTGTCTAGACCAGTTATCCCAATTCCCAGATGGTTTCTTATCTGCTAGAAAACATTCATTTTTGATGCTGTTATCAGTCGATTCATTTTCTGGCTTACAGAATATATTTCTGACCAATTCATTCAAACAACATTTTAGAAGGAGATATATAGTCAATAAAGAACTTGAATACTCTTCTTTAGAAGGTTTTATAATAAAATGATCTGTTTTCCATGATCAGATGGTATTAAATTACAGGACAGAATTTCATTTCCTTGGTAGTAAAAGAATCTTGAATCTTAGTCACTGAATCAATTCTGTATCAACATAAAATCTGTTAAGTGTGGGCTGTTTAGAGTGAATTCTTCCATACATCTAGCAGCCAGGCTAACACCAGCCTTTGTAGACAGAGAGTTAAAAAACTTTTGAGCAGCTGCTCCTTTTACTGAAGTGAATTAAAAACAATGTGCTCAGTCTATGGTTGCTCTTAAATCATGTATACAGCATGCGAGAATTTACAGAGCTACTAGGCCCTAAAGTAGGTATTACTACAATGTATTACCAATGTACTACTACAAGGAAATTAAAACCTAAACAGGCACAAAAGGTTAATAGAATACGTAAGATATGGTTACTTTTTATTAACGTCATCTTACCAGTGTATATATCTAACTGCTATAAAGACATCGTCATAAATTTTGCAATTGGGGGGGGGGGTCTGCATCATATCTTGAAAGTTACAACTAATATTTACCCAAGACATAATAAAATCCAAACATACAGCTGGATTTGGACACGTCCCACTCTGGAGTCTATGCAGATACAGACAGAAATCAATTAGTCTCTGCAGGGATTTGCAAGTGCATGCTTAGAATTCTATCTGTACAAACCACCTTTGCAAAACAGTATCAGTGGCTGCCTTTCCACATCTGAAAAACGTCTGTTATCCATTAGGCTGATTTCATATACATGTTTTTTGCTATTATTTTTCACGTGCAAATAATAATTTTCAATGAATATAAAAAAAAAAAACTGGTTAGTGTTAGTTATTTTTTTCTGTAGTCAACAGATCAGTTTCACCCTGTGGAGAATCTCCAAAACGTTACACTACAATTGCATTTAATAACGGCAACCCTCCCTGCCCTGAAGCTGCTTCTGAGATAAAAAGCAGGAGAACAAAAAGCATTTGGAGAATCCTACGGACAAAATAAATTTATTTTGAGAACACTGAAGCCATCAGTGTATTCGTGAATGTTGAGTATACTACTTACTAGGTCGTTCATATTTGTCTGACTGGCTGGATGAATTTCTTCCAAGAACTCTAGAACATAGAATGTGTATCTGTCCATAAGATGAACTCCAATCCCAAGATCAGGCTGATGCTTAAAAACAACACATAGCACTTATTGAGCATTTGCTGGGGAGAACCCAATATTTAAAGGGAGGGAACAGAACAAGACAACATTACACAGAACTTAGGCATAATGATTTCTTTTAGTCTTTGGCAAATTATATGCAAAGAAAATGGTTAGCCCTTGAAGAAACATTGTCACTGAGCTGTATAATACAAAATATCTTCAGTTTTCTAGATTATATCCTGCCATTTTCCATGTTTGACAAGAAGCCGGGAACTCTTTCTTCTTAATGGTTCAGTACAGAATTGCACGCTGCCCCTCCCTCGCTTCCCAGAGCATGGAAAAGCAGAGTTGGGAGAAAGAATTTATCTTCTAACACTGTGTGGTTTCAGGTAATCCTGACCAGCTGTTTTTTGTCTGGCTAGGACCTTTCTCTCATCGCTCCTTCTATAATCCAGCCGGAATGCAATTATAGCAGGTAAAAGGCAGGGGCATTTCTTCTTTTATCAAGTGTAAGAAGCCCTAGGCTGAATATTCCTCGCACATATCTCATCAGCATTCCCATAAAAGTTCTGCCTATCCTAGGCAATGCAGGAATTGGCCAGTAAGCACAGAATTCCACCTTCAACTTTAACTGTCAACAGTGAACAGAGGATGATTTGCCCCTTCCTTTGTACTTTCCACCTAACAGTTCACGGGAGTTGTAGGTCCTCAAAACTTTTGTAACTACTTGGGAGTCCTTTAAAAATTTTTGTAACTGAACTGAAACAGAGCAGGACAGTCTCACAAAGACCAGGTGGAGGGGACCAGTATCAGAGAGAGACACTAAAGTGATATGCAGATGAAGAAAAAGATGAGTCATCATCTTCCTTATAAGTATAATACACCTTATACATTGAATTATGCTTTCTGTTTTCTGTTGTTTTACACTTACAAAGTTATTGAGAAATATCTTTGGTATTATAAGTTGTTGAAAAATAAGACTTCCGGACTAGCCTGGTTTTCTGGGACAGCCCAGCAAAGCAGCAGGAAAAGTACGCTTATGAGTTTTGTAGAAACTATACTTTGAAAACTAAACATGTTACATTAAGCAATTAGAAGGGACTTTTTAAATAAGAAGTCAATAGGATCTGTATTTTTAGCTCACTCAGGGATTCTGAAAGTCAACTTCAGGATCACAAAAATCTACTTACTGACAAAGAATCTTCTCCTACTTGGCTGCTAGCCAAGGCCATTATATTGGGTGAATAAAAACGTTCATACATGGATGCTCCTTGACAAGTATCAATAATAAACAACAATTCATTGTACCTGAAAGAAACAGAACAGCCTTCTTACTTGCCTTTCTTTAGATTGAAGCAACATATACATACTTTGCTTCTTAGTTACCAGGATAACTGCTAGGAATCTAAAGAACAGCAGAGTTCACACTGATTGATTGTTAGATGCAAGTTTAGCCAAAGAAATTCACCTGAGCACCTAAAACCACAGGAAATCAAAAACAAAAACTAAAGGTCTTTTGGTACGCAAAGTGTTAGGCAGTTTTACGGACAACAGACAGTACCACCGTTGAGAAGTGAACAACAGTGACCTACGAGCTAGACTTCACGTGTGCTCATGAAATATACTATTCAACCTCTAAATATATTTTTCCTACCTTCTTTTCTGCCACATTTGTTCAAAGGCATCAGCAAGTTCTACATTTGTGATTTCTTCAGAATCTTGAAACTTTAGGAAACCATTTCCACCATGACCTGACAGGGAAAAAAAAAAAAAAAAAAAAAAAAGCCAAACAATTCTCTTTCTCCAAAGAGACCCCAGCAAAAGAAAACATTACAACAGTAAGAAGAGTATGTGTGCATCATTTAGACTGGATCTGTCTTTGCTAAGTACTGTCTTACAGGTTTGTTCTTGATTACTATATAACATGCTAAACAAAAAAACAAACAAACAAACAACAACAAGCATTCACTCTACCGTTTCTTTTTGTTTATTTGGACTCTTGATGGGATTGTATGCTTTCAAACAGCCCCATCCTACTGAACAACAAAAGTCAATAAATCGTATACACAGACCTGTAATTACCTGTCATATATATTAGAATATTGCTTCTGTCATCAGAAAGAAGACGTTTAGATCGAGGCGTGCTTGGTGGGATCCTTCCTGTTAATACACGCAAGAAATTTTCCACAGTCACCTATAAACAGAAGTGTAAAAATAAAAGTATTGATCACCTACTCTGGTCTGGATTCCATAAAATAAATAACTGAAAAATAAAACACAGCTTATCCAACAAGATGCAATGCTGTACAGTAGAACTGCATTGATGGAAGTTGTCTGTTGCAGGTTTTACTCCAGTAAGGCTCATGATCATAGAATACCTTCTGGTCTATCCTACTAACATCAGACCGTTGCTTTATTATACCAAATAAGTCTACTACCATTATAATTTTTAAATACATCTTCATTGGTCTGAAAATTTGCCAAAGTACACAGCTTTGTTCTACCAAAGCTCCTCATGTACTCGCAAAATGCTCCAACATTAGTGTGCGTTACCAGGGAAAAATAAACGTTAGGTTCCCTCTGCAACTCAGGAAAGAAAAAACAAAATCAATTTCAGTGGTCTGACTGACCAGACCATCTGGACAGCGACTGTAAAACATTCTATAAAACACCACTTGCTCTTCATGCAGATGTATACAGCTCAAAAAAAAAATGCTAGTAACGAATTCATGCTCAGGGAAAAGAGCATGATAAAAAGAACATAGCTCTATTTCTGTGTCATATCTTCACTTCTTTAGATAAAGCTTCAAAAATAAAATATCTACTATATAATTAAATATGCTCCTATAAACCTTTATTTGCTTTATCAATAACTATACAGCACTGACTAAACCATGTAAGTGCTGTCCAATTTAAGATCACCTGGTAAAGAAATGGCCTGTTTGAAGTAGTATTACACAAAAATAAGAGGTGATAAAATACAACAATTACTTAACTATATTAACTATTTTACAGTAATGGTTAAGAGGGGGCTTATGTTTCATCTTGATAAAAGCATATGCTTAAGATACAAACAGACCTCCTTATTAAACGTTTTGTCTGCATGCTGAAAATTTAACTGCAGTGTGTTTGCAAGATGAGACACTAACCCCCTTATCCCCACTTTCCACAGAGCAGGAAGTTCAGTAACAGCCGTGCCGTTCGTAGTATACAAAAGGAGTTCCATATATTTTCAAAATAATTGTGGATATTCCATTCTTTAAAACAGCCAATATGCAACAACATGTTTCTAGTGTTCAGAACAGTATACTACATTTTAAATATAAATCCAATAACATGTTTTGGGGGAGGGGGTACGGTTACTTTTAAACCTATCAAGTGATAACAAAAGCCCAGCCCAAATCTAGTAACAGGAACGGAAAGACTTCCTCTAACTGCACAGATTTTATAAAGCCTTAAACCAAAACTACAAACCAAGGCCTGGTTATTTAATTAAAGCACAGTCACCTCATAGCTTCGGTAATCCACTTCCACATCATCTCCATAGACATTTAGCTCCATGTTTTTATGACTAAACACAGTAGCAGGTTTGGGATTTCTGGGATTACATGCCATGTCATCCGCCAGCATCAGCACAATGTGACTATGAAAAATAAGACAGAACTATTTCAGACATTCTGCTTTCACATAACAGTCAAATAGAAATTACAACAAAACGTCCCATAATTTACAGATAGCTTGTAACTTTAAGAAAATTCCTGTCACCGCAAGTGAAACTTTGCTCAGTTACACCTTATTTCCTTGTGTACATCCTCACTGTTAACAAAGGTACCACACACAGAAACACAGTCAGTTGGCATTTATCTGTACGATTTAGTTAGGCAAAGCTGAGTACAAGATTAGTTAGCATTAGCAGCTTCATGGTACAGATTTGACTGGACCTAGGCCAGCCTTTACACACACTTTATAAAAATCTGAATTTACACAGCACTAAATCATTTCATACTTTTTCACAGAAGAAATCCCAGCATACTTGCCTTCTCTCACCCTCATCGCTGCAAAGTGGTAGACCAATTCTTTTCCTAAAATTTGAGGAGCTCCTAAATATTTTTCAAACTATTATACTGCGTTTGATATGCTATTATCTGATTACCTATGCTAACAGGGAGTTCTCCTGAAGAACACAACTGGGCTGACACCAGACAGGATTTGTCTTCACAGTACCAAGGAAACATACGCAGCATCTGGAGGACTAACATTACAAAACTGTCCTAGCTTGTATGTAGCCAAGATCCATGCTTCACTTGCCAAGGTCAGTGCAGAATCAAAATATGTAATAACAAGTAGTAGACTGAAGACCTTTAGTGCTAGAAAAAACACGTCTGGATCCAAGTGAAGTAAGTTCTTTTCTCAGATACCCCATTCTTTCATGTTGTTTCTCCTGAACCAAGTGATCTTAGCACTCTCCCAAACAATGCTTAAAAAAGCAAAGCTCTATTCTGCAATGACTGCTGCTATTCCTAACTCACAAGATAAAACTCGCACAGTTAAAAACTAAACCATGACCTGCCATTTAAATGCCATTCCAGCGCCTGTCATCATTCACCTGTGTGTCTGCCCGAGCATCATAAGAGTCATGCCATAGTTTATTAAGTGCTGACATGCTCATTGCTGCACAGAAATAGACACAAATGCTGTCTCAAGTAACATAAGCGTGGATCCTCACAAATAATCAAAGTAATTGATTTCATTGGGAATAAAACACTGAAATAAGTATGAAGATCGAATGCGAGAAACCAGAGGACAGTGACAGAAGAGAAATATAGGGCTTTTTCCCCACATATGCATACCAGTCCAAAATTATTTTTATAAAAAGGAGCGTTATTAAAAGGGAGTTAGTTGGAAGCAAGCGTCAAAAATATACCCCTCTAGACTTACTGAGGGTATATGCATTACACTCAAAAGAGAATATTCCAGACTAAGCCATCACTAGTCCCACAATTTACCGCTGTTTTCAAAGACTCTATTCTTTCTTTCCTTTTTTTAAATAGACTGCAACAATCACACATCACTCAGAACTAAGTTCTGCATGGTAGTAGTACAGACAGCTAAACACGAACATGCAAAGCTTTAAGAACATCATATAGCGTTCTTAAAAGTATGTGAAATACCCCATGGATAAATAGAAGCACTGTGTGCAAATGAATAGGTTGTCTATACACTCAGTAAAAAAAATCTTAGTGTTAACTTGCAGCTTAACTGTTAAACAAAAGTAATCTACTCATGCATTATATGACTGCTCTTCCCCGCTGTGAAATTTATATTGGATAATGACTCCAGCAATCAAAAGCAATTTCTCGGATCATTTTGGTTCTCTAAGAAAACTTTCCTCTTACAAATTGGAGAATTGTGCCCACATGTCAACAAACTGGAGCAACTTACAACCATAAAACCAGGAACCATTTCCTAATGCATTCTATTGTCAGATGACAAATTTGCTTAAACCACTAGACTGACAGTCCCATTCAAGACAAAGCTATGCACAAATCCTACCCCCCCTCAAAAGAAAGAACAATCATAAATTTTTAAGATGTGATTTTTTGTTAATCTTATCAACACTTTGAATGATGTTTTGCAGCAAAAGAAGAAAAGTAAAAGAAGTTTCTCCGATGTTTCTGGGGACAAACCAACTCAAAAGACACGGGAAAACTGCTGGAAATAGGAAAAGTTAGGTTATCTATCTCCCTAGGTCTCCTCCAATGTCTCACTCTTGACCTTAGTCTAAAGGATTGTTGCCTTTTTTGAGATTCATTTACAGATGCTTTGGTACGGACAAGAAACAGATCATATAACTGAAGAAGAGAAACCTCCAGCTACACTAATTCTTGCAGTATTTCTGAAGCTGCCACATTTTCACCTTAATGGTGATGCAAGACTGATGCAGAGAAGATAGAAATTCTTTTACTAGTTCTATGCTTAATTAAGAATTTTTAAGCTAGTGTCCATGGTGCCTACGCTTCAAATGCGACACATGAGGGAAGTTAGATGCTTCTGCATGATACATGCAAAAAAAATGCCACACATCTGTGGCTTTCAGCCTACAGAGCCTAGGCGCTACGATTCATAGCCCTAAAACTCTTGTAAAAATTAGGTTTCAACATCCCCTCTTTCAAAACATATAGAAGTCACTCTTCTACTGACTTCTACCTCTTTACCTAGACATGCTGGAGATACTATCAGTGAACTGCTATCATTTGTTCTCATAGTTGCTATGCAAGTAAATTACATTCTAAAATAGTCATACCCCTAAAAAACTCCCAGTAGCAACACAGTTATAAAGGCACCTCAGAACGCTTTATTCATCTTCCTAATCCTGCCGTCGGAGAAAGAACAACACTTTAACCATTGTGCCATAGCTAGGGAACTACAATTTGCATGGACAGACAAAGCCTCTGGCTTCTCCTAAAAACGTCAAGCAAAATAGATTGTTTCAAGGCTACTTTCAACATGCAGGAGCTGCTTTTTTCCAACCGTTTTAATTTAAAGATTCTCAGTGTAGTTAGGGTTGCTAACATCTCCACCCTGAAAGGAAATTACAGTACAGTAAAAACTATATACTGGAGTAATATTGTCACTTCTAAATGCATTTTCCAATTTTCACATTATACTTTTACCAATTTATTAAATGGCACAATTTAGCGGCCAGATAGCTCCTCTTTTTTTAATCAAATTACTTGACTCCAACTAGAAGTTTCATGATATTTCATCATCAAATATTTCATATTTGTTCCTTTTCATTTTGAATGATATTGCTGTACTTTTCAATGCACTGATTTGATCACATCTTTACTCTTTTATCCAGTTATACTGTGAAGAAAGCTTTAACTTCATACTGTTTCAGATAACAAGAGAACTTTAATAGCACATTTGCAAGCAATTGTATTCAGTGAGATTCTCTCACCTATCAGGAATAAAAGTCTCTTGACACTTCTGTACACCGAAAGAGTATTTGCCACATGACGGTAATTAAACCAGAATCGAGATGTACATACCTTAAATTTTTAAGAAAAAATAAATGCATGTTAAATACTGTAAAAGATACAGATTGGACTGATATATGCATTAGAAGATACCAACTACTGGGACATCAACAAACTAGTAACCAATCAGAAAGAACCTAGCAACACCAAGAAATTCATGATATAAGTTATATAACCTTTGTTGTACCATAACAATAAATGCCGAAAATAAATGTTAAAAAAAAAAAAGTTTTTAACACACTGAATCACAAAGTAAAACTGTCATAAAAGCCAACCAAGTGCAGAAAGTGGCACTTGGGGAATAATCCAGCAATAGTAAGTGGATAAGCTAAAGTTTTTCAATTGCTTTCTCCATTTCGAATGGAAAAAGAAAAATCAAAGGAAGAGTCTTCATCTCAACAGCAAACCCATTCTGGGAGCATTCTTGCATAAAGACATAAGTGAGTTCAGGCAGAAGCTACACACTGGGGAAAATATACCGAGGATGCTTTATATTTGAGTCTTTGAATGCAATAAAGAGCTAAGTGAGCTCTAACCAAAATCTGAATACAAATTCTCAAAAAACATCAAGAGTTCAGATGCCACTATTCCAACAGGGTGAAGGGCTGGGGATCAGCCATTCCTGTACGTAAACTATTCCCTTGGTCTGGTATTATTTAATCGGTCCTCAAAAGCTCAAACCAATGAGATTCCAAAACCTCCAGAGGCAACCCGCTGTAGTTTATGCTAGTCTTTCCGTGGCCCTTGTGTTTATGTCAAGTTCACTGCTTTTTGTTGGTTCTGCACCAAGGACAGCAATTCTCTGCAGACACTTACTTTCCTGCTGTTTTACCAATCTTTCAAGCAGATGAAAGAAGCCGCCTTTTTGCGGCTTTAAAATTGCCTCTTCTAAAACAGAAGCAGGAACAAACTTGGCATTTAAGATGTCTTTTTTCTGTTTAGGTTTTTCAGCTTTAGACATACAACTTTAAATAGTAGCATCTTTAAGCAAGCTTACTCTATGTAACATCTTTTACTCTACTCCTATTCATAAAATGCAATGAATAATAGCTTAAACGACAACCATAATTCCACCTGAAAGGATCCCCCTTCACCCTTGATCATTGTTTCAGGTAGGAATTTCAAAAAAGCCCATAGGAATCAGTCCATGAGAACACTTGCCTTTCAGCAATCAGAGCTCTGAAAACTAAATCTGGCAAGCCAAGCTTTGACATTTTAAGACATTACCATCTGCACCTTCCCTCTATCACCCTCTATCATCCTTCCACTCTATAACAGAGTGGAAAAATATATCAATGCTTCACATATAGGTATTCACAGGCCAGCATATCAATTCAAATTATTGATGAGGTGGTTTTGCACAGTGATTCCAGGCGAGAACGGGCCAATAATAGTAACATCCTCCCTATTTTCTTGATTAAAAAAAAAAATTAGTACCTATTGTCATGAAGTTGAATGTTGAATTTCTTAGTAACTGAAAAAAACATAAGCAGCAGAGAATTTGCTGAGGACAGAAAGTAAAATTCCTTGGACTTGCTTTTCCACTTTCCTTGTGAGTGGATAAGTTTGCTAATGAATACATCAATTCGTAAATAATATTAAATTGGACAGGTACTTAACATTTTTACAGTTTTAAGTTTGTACATTGCAGAATATAGAAATTAGGAGTAATTCAATTTATTACTATTCACTTTCCTTTTATATTGCTAAATTTGAATATCTGGAAAGCAAGTATCTGCTACTGACTAATTACAATGTGTTCTGAAACATTAGTCACTAAGACTTGAACTGTGATTAAGAAATAATTGTGCAGCACGATTCAAAGCAAATAAAAGATTCAAGGCAAATAAAAAAATTATCACAAGAACAGTTGATCTAAACATTGTTACCTGAACTTCTTTTATTCTAAGGCTGTTGTCACAAGGTAGAAAATTTAGGAGGAACAAAAATGAGAAGTAAAGTATACTGTCTGGTTAAAGAGCTAAACTTGTCTTTAATATTACAGGCACGTTGCTGTTCAATGTACAGTATGATAATTTACCTGTTTTAATGCTGCTGCAACTTTTGTTTTATGAATCTTGCTACGTATCTGACCATTCTGAGTGCCTGATATGTAGCTATACTGAAAGGATAATTTTAACGTAGTATACTAAATTTGCAGGGAAAATTTCAAATAATGGTATTTACTCCCGAATCTTTATTATTATCTTATTTGATGAAAGCAAACGGGACCACACTTACCAAAACTGCCCAGTTATTTGTATGACCACTTCTAAAGAACTGTTCTGCTTGATCCTGAAAAAGAGAGAAAATATTAGGCATTTTTCAGTAGTGAACAAAGAAATTACCGCTCATATTTTTGTTGTTCTTACAAAAAAACTGCTCAATGCATGTCTGTGCCTTCACCACAATTCATAGACCCTACAGAAGCTTCAAAACAGGTAGCTTTCCTTATTCCACTGTGTACATTTCATCCGTATGTCAAAATTATTTCAAGCAGTCTCAGCTTTACCACAACCAGGGGAAACATAAGGCCAAAGCAGGAAGAATAAAGCTACTGAAACACAAGGAATACATCAAGTGACTGGGAAAAATGGAAAACACAGGTGACAATATTTGTATACTATTAACTTCAAATAGAACCTTTATATTTATACTTTATCTCCAGTAGGTTGTCAGAGAATGACCTCACGCATATTCTGATGTTACTCTAAAAAAGAGACTAAATATAAGTTAACCATTCCAAATCTTTCCCTGAAACTTGCTGGAGAACACAGGAGAAAAACTGACTAGTCACTTTTAGTTTAATTAAAACATAAAGCCACCACCTTGCTCTACTCCAGAGGACACACCAAAAACATAATAAAGTGATTTCCTGACGCACAATTTTTTCCTTAACAATAAAAGGGGCTTGCATGAACTTCTACTTCCATTGTTCTTCTTGCCTTTCTAATGGCAGATAAATTAAGTGAATCTGCTATTTCAGTCCCCTTTAAATCGAAGTAGGTTACACAGAGCATTTATGCTTCAAGAACAGGAGCTACGCCAACAGCAACCCTCCGTACAACGTCCTTTAAGCACAGCCTCCAAGGGGCTCTGCAGAGGAGAGGGCCCCTTCCGAACAGGGGCGTAAACCCGGACGGAGGTCACAGGCAAGCCTGGAGCAGGACAAGAAATCCAGGCTGCACCAACTCCCTGAGGAGACCCAGGCTGATGTCGGCAGCCTCACACAAAACACACAGCAGCAGAAAATAAATTTTCTTGAAACATACCTAAACTACACCGCATAACGTCAAGCAGCAAGCCAGTTTCAGTTTGTTCAATAACCTAAAGTCTCTAAAGTCATTTCTATTCGGAAACCTGCAAACGCATTTGAAGAGAACTTTTAACTTCACACAGTTGGGACCAAAACACAGGTGCCTGAGGACCCGCTGTAACTTCTGGGATTTTCTACAGCGTACAAAACACTTTAGCAACGACCGCCAGGCTTGGCGGCGGCAGCAGGGGCCGGGGGGTGGCGGCGGGCAGGGCAGGGCAGGGCAGGTCACCGCCCG